GTCTGGTTTTAGAATGCAAGGCACGTCAGTTGTTTCAACAGCCAATCGACTTGTAGTGAAGAAGTCAAGTCAAAATGACCGTAGGTGGTGCGTTCGCTTGCTGCAGCAGGTGCTTGGTGATGGCTTGAGCCAGTTTGCTCGACACAGTGTCGATCTTTTGAAGCACAAGTGTTCCGAGACAGCGTTTCGATCCCTGCTTTGGCACGCCCACAATCACGTGACTACTGACAGCGAGGCCTCTTACAGGCTTTTCCAGGTCTTCCACTTAGATGCAGTTCTGACACACAGCTAGCAGATGTCACTCTTCTGACTGTATGAAATGCTTCGAAGCAGTGTGTCATTCTTGAAGCAGTTGCGTCAAAGTGTTTCACTGCTTCATGAAGCTTCGATTTCACCATCACTACAGGTGCTCCAATCTCACTGAGCTCTCGGTTTTCGTCCTGACGTGTGCGAGTGTTGGACGGTGGGTCGCTGCTGCCGCTTGCTGTATGTGTTTAGCCCCACCCACACTGACATTCTCCATCTGATGCTAGTTTTATGCTTTTCCGTTTCATCACTACAACAGATGCAGCTGTAGCCAGTATCTCACTATCACTATCTTTATTCATATTTTCAGAAGCTATAAATTATATTCAGCCACAAAACAGCCTGAAAAGCTGCAAATAGAGTGGAGGTACAGAGAATTGTTGCATAGTGATGATACACTGTCTCATCTAGTTGCATTGGTGTGAACCAACAGGTTTTTAGAACGTTGCAAAATGGCGCAGTGAAAGTAGTTGCATGTTCAAACTTGCAGTGAATCTTTGGTCTGAACTGGGCTTTAGCTGTAAGCAATCTGTGTCTCTGTGTTGAATTACATTATGATGCACTCAAGCTCCATTCAGTAACAATACAATACAGTATTGTTGCAATATAAAATCGAGGTATTTGGTCAAAAATATCATGACATTTGATTTTCTCCGTATCACCCAGCCCTATGAAAAACACGGGCTCAGTTATCTCAAGATAATTAACTTGTTATCTCATGAAAACGGTGTTAGAAAACATAATTACAAGCACGGCCATTCTCGGCTTCCATACATATCTGTATTTTCTCCCAGCAAGTTTAGTTAACAATGAGTGAAACAGATGATGCACATATGCATGACAAGGCAGTGTTCTCAGCTCTCACTGCTGCAGCCATTAGCGTGGCTGTTCTCAGCTTCCGTACATGAGTGTGTAACAGTCTTTTATCTCAGTGGCTGTAATTTGCTCCAGTGACAATTAGTGTTTATTAGTTTGGATCCATTTTTCCTTACCACAGCTTTACAACTTTGCTTCTATGTGTCTTGCTGAAGTGTGTCACTACAAATATGAGTTCAGCTGCAGGAAGCTGGCGACTCTAACCAAACGCACCTGTGCTGAGGGTGTTGCCAATTACAAAAACATTTCTTAATAAATCCCTTGGAAAACTGCAACACACGTATTAATGAGAGTAGGCGAGAAACATAACTGCCTTTGATGTCTAAAATTAAATTTTTAATTTTACACAAGTGACTTCTGGTCACAGGAAAATACATGTACTCCAATGACCCAGTATGTACAGTCTGAAAAGCATCTATCTCTATTCATAAAATATGATTTCTATCATGGAGAGGACAAAGTATGAATAATTACCAAAAGGCGGCTCATGACAACGAATCTTATTTTCGTCTTATGCGTCGAGTCCAAACAAATGTAAGCCATAGCTCCCAGGGTTCCATCAAACACATCAATATTCAGCTGATAATGCCTTTAATCTGTGGCCAAGTCAACCTCGCGTTGCTCCTCCAAACACCACAGCGAGCTCCCGCTAATGATTAAAAATGATAAGGAAATATGAAGTAAATAGCTTATAATGAATTTAAATAGGCCTCCACATTTATAATACAGCACCCTACATTATCAGAGCTGACCTTCTTGGATCGAAACAAAGCAAAAGTGGAGAGATTATATGGCATTGTCGTTCCAGCTTCAAAAAGAATCTACTGATGAACTGTTTTGTTCTCAGGGGTCCATTGATAATTCATACAGTAGACTAAAGAAAACTTGGCATTGATTACTCAATTCAAATGTTTGAGCGTACTTTAAATACAGGATGCTTACATCCCCAATTCTCAACATCAAACCCCAACTGAGACCCAAATTTGCTACTTCAGCAGTTGACTGCTGAACTTGCAGGGTTCAGAAACAATCTTCCTGGATGCTAAAAATACATTTAACAATGCTAACTAGATTTTATTTTGCTACACTTGAGGTGTAGCATTCGTCATTTCGGTAAATGCTTTGACATATGATTGGCTGACACTTCACCGCATCATTGGAGCTCTAAAAAAAGTTGAGGCCAGCTCAGCTTTGACTTGTAGCTTGTCACACCCGTCCACAGCTTGAAATGTTTGGTGTCTGATCGTAGCTTCATGTTACAGCTTCCATTAAAAATTATACTCTTCGGTAAGTGGGGATAGCCACCGATAACTACTGGGGAAAACAAAAGCGCTATCCTCTTCCTGTTTCGGCTGCTTCACACTTTACCCAGGAGATCATAACCAGTGACAGACAGTTATATAGTGAAAGTGAGGCCTGTAGGGAACCAGTCTAAACACTGATGGTGTCATTATTCTATTGCCATTACATAGTGCAACATGTATTTCATAAATATGGCAAAAAAAGAGGAAACGGGATACTTACATTAGATCCAGGGAGCTAAAAGGGGATTGATAACAAATCAAAATGTGATAATTTTTTTGCACTTACCCCTTGTGCTCTGTGCAATCAGCATTATTTATCTAACTGTTCCACCTCAGCTACAACACAGTCATGTGCCAAAGTGTGATCATGTTTTAAAGGCTAGACACAGTTCAGGTTTGTGACTTCATGACAGATGGCAGCCGAAAGGTCAACCACACACATGGGGCTCACTGTGGAGGGATCAATTCAGTAAGATACCCCTGTGTGTCTATGATGGATCCCCTCGGGAGAGACGTCACCAAAGGCTTGTTTTGAACTCAGCGAGCTACAAAGAGAGACCCCCTCCGATTTCAAGTCCTGATTCCATGAAGGCCGACAGCACAAAGCTTAGAGACGCCTACACCTCATTCATTCACTTACAGGCTCCCAGGAGTCCATTCAATATTGCGCACTCTGGGGACACAACTAATTTAACATTCAACTAAAAATATTTAGTCAATAAAGTTCTGCTGACTGGGTAATCTGTAATTGGGCAGACAACAGCTTATTAGGCGTGTAACTAGATAATCATACAATGAGGAAAAAGTCACAACATGCATCACAGAACTAAGTATCATGTTCATAATGATCGGACCACAAGAGGCTGAAAACAAGAGGCTGTTTTTGGATCTCACTTCCCAAAGATCCAGACAATGTTGCCTGTGTGATGTCAGTGAGTTGGCAGTTTGCACAAAATCGATTCATCAAAGTTATAATGTCTGTAGTCGGCACTCTTTTCTTTTGTTTGTCTGGTGACAGTGACAGTTTACTCATAACACAAGCACAGACTGGAAGAAATTAAAGGAAAGAGGACGAAACTACAAATTTTGTGGGGTGTAACAGAAAAATATTTTAATTTTCAAAAGTCTAACCAGTAATGGGTAGTAAATCACTTTTTTTGACCAGCACGCTGCTTCACACACAGGTGAGTTGAAGAGCAGGCGTCTCATTTATAAAATACTGCATAGGATCCATACTAAAAATGTACATACAGACAAAAGCTAAAAATTGACGCGCCAAAAACATTCGACAGCTTCTACAATCAGGCTTTCACCTCAACATCTGCGTCGCCAATTTCCTGTCTCCAAAATGTTCATGAGTGAAAGTTTCTCCCATCAAGTCTGTTTTTACACACCACAACTTTTGCGTGGGGAGTGGCGTACACCTCTTTTAGGCCGAGTTTTGTGCATACGCGTTGAGGCCCCAGGTCTGTTGCCTTAGCTCCGCCAACCCTCTCCAGCTGACCAAACACTGCTGAGCGATGGAAAAAGCTTGTACCGCTTGTGATTTTTTTCCAGTAATGTCAAGACTAGTTGGGTTTTCATCCAAATGTAGCGCAAATTTTAAATGAAGATTCAGCTAATTCGTTTTTGTTTTTAAAAAAGGCAAATTTATGTGTGTATTCCATCCACTACTCCATCCATCAATTTTCATCTGCTTATCTGGGGCAGCAGGCCAAGCAAAGCACCCCCAGACGTCCCTCTCCCCAGGCCAGATGAGATATGTAATCCCTCCACCGTGTTCTGGAACACCTCTAATGGGAAGTACCCAGGAGGCATCCTGATCAGATGCCCGAACCACCTCAACTGACCCCTTTTGACGCAAAGGAGCAGCGGCCCTTCTCCGAGCTCCCTCCGGATGTCCGAGCTCCTCATTCTATCTTTAAGGCTGAGCCCAGCTACTACTGTTATGCGAATATTTGGAGGTGGTGACATTTCAGAAGAGGGTGCAACAAGATGATGTAATTAAGGAATGCAAGTAAATGAAGGAAAACAATGAATGTATAGGTAATGGGGAGCACACTGGACAATGGAAATAGCAAGTTTTGAACCACTAACACCAAAGCTGTGTGCTCATGGAACATTTCCGATAACAGCTCTGTGTGTATGTGAGCATAATAAAAACCTCTAGAGACGATGAAGATGGCTTACAGTGGCCTATACAGTGATGGTACATCATGCCTGTATGTCATACTTTGTGTGTCCATCTCATTTAGTCACATTTACCTTTATCAATACAGCAACTTTTCTAACTTCCCCAAGTGTAAGAATGTTTTTTTGTGATATTTTAATATTTAAAAAAAAAAATGCTGTCCTTTCCAAACTGAAAATGTGCATAAAAAGAGGTGGATGGAAACTCACCTACAGACATCCAGTTTGTAATACTGCTTGCTTATGCTTTCATCACTGGGCCTTCGGCTGAGTCCCCATTACGCCACCTCCTTCAGCGATAGACAGTGACTTTACAGACATTTATTTACATGAAAATTTTTGAGATCATTACTTTAATAAACACATCAGCTTCAATTTTTAATATTGTGAACCCAATATCATAGGTAAAACTGTATTTTGTACCAAGAATATTGTCACATATCAATAAGTAAGACAAAATATAACCTCAGTACAAAGTGCCAAAGGTCTAACCTCTGTGACTCACACCAAACAGCTTCTTCTTGATGCAAATGAAGCAGTGTTTCACCTGACAGACAGAGAAATCACCCAGGAGCCCCACTGCCCAACTCTCGCCTCTGACTGGATACTCTATGATCTACTCTTTACTTAATGAGGTGTCATGTACAGTTTATATAAAAGGTATGACCTTATTAAACTGTGAGTGAAAGGCTGAAGCAATAGCTGGGGAAAGATAAATGGCAAGGCTGTATGGAAACTCATTTTGCCTGTAACATCCGCGGGACAAGAGGCCCTCAGCCTGATTGTTCGGAGATGTATTGCTGACATTTGTGGCTCTATTCAAATGGCGCTTCAGAATAAAAGGTAGGCAATATTAAAAACCTGAATTTTACATTTAAATTGATTTTATTTAGGCTGTAAAACAAAATCTTTCAGAAAAACATCTCACTTTTCATCAAAATAACAGTTTCATGCTGAAATTAGTTCTAAAACACAGAAACAAACAAATCAAATTAATATTTTAAGCGCATCTGGGTTCTTTGGAGTGTGTCACATACAGCAAAGAACCCAAAAATGTATTCATGGACCCGTGATTGTAACTAGAACTTTGCTGTGAATGCAGCAGCTAAGAGATTATCCCCTTAAGAGCCAGGCTGCTCTTTAAATCAAACTGTTTTCTGAGACCGCTCCAAGCTTTCCAAACCCTGTTCTTGTTATTCTTTTCCTTTAACTTGATTTCTGACAGCCAATTCAATTAGGCTGGATATGTGTGGGTGTAAAAAAAGGAAACATGACAAACTCAGAAGATGGATGGCAACCTTTGCTTCACCATTAAAATCACAATTGCGTCGTATTGAAGCTCAATACATTGGTGTATTACCAGCAGCAGCAAAATGAACACAGTGCCAGACAGGGTCATAACTAATCACCCTCTGCAGTCCGGTTCTTTGTGAAAAGGATCTGCATGCCAGATTGTCATTTTCAGCTGCCAGTGGTGGAGAGCACATTTGGTAAATCCCCCACTGTTAATCAAGTTTGTCTTACAAAAAACATTTAAGCTAAAAAATAAATTTAAAGGCAGACAGAATGTTTTAATTCGGTTTTGTGACGTTTTCCCAAGATAAGGCACGGTGACTCATCAGCCACCTGACCTTAACGGCAGTCTGCAGGGACGTGATGTCTAGCCGAGCCCCTGTCGGAGTCCTCTGGCGCCAGGGAGGAGCTGACCTGTTGGTAGATGAAGGAGTAGAGGCTGACGTCAGGGCGTCGACCAAGGCAGTTCCTGCACACTGAGCTGTAGTACTGCCCCAGGAGCTCATACACCTCCCCTGTGACAGAGACAAGAAGACTGTGTATGTTATCTAGTCTCTACAAAGGACTGCATATCACTGCAAAAAATGTTGAGTTTTCAGTAAGTTTTCAGGAGCCACATTATTGTTTTATGAGATCACATTGTTTACAACAAAATCCCAACAGGAAATATTCCAAAAACATAATTAACCATGTTGTTATATCATTTTTATCTCACCCTTGGCAGTGAAATTTAACATACTGCAAAAAGGAAGGCATAAACACAGCTGCACATGAACAGGAAGCAGGCAGGGTTGTTTTTCTTACCGACACTGATCTTCCTCTGAGTTAGGAAAGAGTGCATCTTGTGGACATCTGTCATGAGCTGGCTGTCACCAAAGGTGAAATAGGCCACATCTCTGCCCGCCTCAGCAGCTGCCAGCATCTGGAGCAGAGCTGGAGGAGAAGAAGCCCATGTTAAACCTCAACAGTGAGAGTGGCATAAAATCTGTTTCATTACAGTGGAAGGATTGTCCTTTTAAAGGGTGAGTTCACCCCCAAATTAAAATATGTATTTTTTTTCCTCTGGCCTGTAGTGCTTTTTATCAATGTAGATTGTTTTGGTGTGAGTTGCAGAGTGTTGGAGATATCGGCCGTAGAGATGTCTGCCTTCTTTCGAATGTAATAGATGGCTCTCGACACTCGAAAGAATATATTTTAAAAACTCAACAGCAATGTCTCTTTCCAGAAACCATAACCAAGAAAATCCACAGACTGGTCACCGCACTGGTCTTCCACAATCCACCCCACTAAAAGACAGAGGATTTCAAGAGTTTCGCTGAGCTAGCTAACGTTACAGCTCAGCCGAGGAGGATGCCATTAATGATTACATCTCATGATGTCACAAGCAAGAGCCTCTCGTCTATGAGTAGATGCATGCGTCCTTCTGCACAGTGATATGGTTGGTGGGTATAGCTTGGCAGAATGAAAATAGTTCCCACATGAAACTGCTCACAACAAGGGCTGTGGATTATTGCCAACAACTGGGTCATGGTTTCTACAAAGAAACATTGCTGTTGAGTTTTCAAATGTATTTTTTTTTTGTGCTTTGAGCACCTCAAGCTGAGTGCCACTGTGGTGGCGAAAAGGCCTAGAAATATTTGACCCTTAAGGTCAAGTTAGTTAGTAAAATTGAGTAACCCTGAATGGTCTCACTCTGGGGAGAAGTCTAAGAGCAGAGTGACTTGGCAAACATTGTGATGGTGAAACATTGTGATGGGAAACAGATGTCGTTGCCAGATATTGTAAGTTGTGACGTTCTAGAAACGGCAGGAAATCACACCCACACACAAACACGAACATGGAAAGTTAGGCTTGATGTTTATCTGAGGAGGAGTATAAGAATGTTTGGTGAACTGTTCTATGGTGCTGTGTCATTGTTGCACCATTTGAAGGCATATGTTGCGTCTTAAATATATGTCCTGCAAAGGCTGTGAATTGATCCCAGGTCATACAGGTCACCATCTAGTTCCATTATATTCCAGAGAAGGCAGCCATCTCTATAGCCTATATCTCCAACACTCAGCAATTTACACCAAAACAATCTAGAGTAGTAAATAGCACTACAGTTGAAGGGAAAAGTATGTATTTTCGATTTGGGGTGAACTGTCCCTTTGAGGCTTTTTTCTGCAGGTTTGTTCGCACATTATCACCTTCTTACTTGTGAAATTACAGAAAAGTTTAAACAAACCAAAGTGTGACGAGTCATCTAGTAGTTAATGTTACCATTAAAAGCTTGTAGCACCACCAGCCGCTGTGGCATGTACGTTAAAAGGCAAGTAATCGGGGAATAGGTCTCACCCCCACTGAGAACTCTGGATTAGTTGCAAAGAGAGGCCAGGTCTGGCCCCGGAGAGCTGTGAATATTTTAAGAGACTGGAAATATGTCTGCTGATTAATGAAGGTTAGGACAGAGGCAAGTTAACGAGCATAACTGAATCAACATTTTCAGAAGCTGAATATGTCTACACTTCAGCAGTTTCTCTCCTTAGCTCCGATTCAACAGCTTTTCCCAAGAATTATCTGACAATTAAAAAATAGGTGGCTATCTGAGGCCCCAGAAGGTAAAGGCAGGAGGAGAACCGCATCTGAATTACAAAGCTCTTCCCGAGAGGCTTGTCATTAAGCAGACAGTAGGTGATTGTACCTATGGAGGGCTTTACGTTGCTGCTGCTAATTAACAAATGTGAATGTATAGTTTGCAAGCGCAGTGGCTCTCAGGTAGAAAGTAAGAAGCAGAGCTGCTACTGCAAACGGTTAGCACAAACTCTCCTGAAGCTTCCTGCTCAGTGACAGTGATACAAGGCTGAGACAGAAAGCTGTAACGGATTGATGTACTCGAGCAGGCAATCAATTTCACTATTAATGAAACATATTAACTTTGTCATTTGATCAATAGAAGGAAGGCGACGAATAGGCCTTAACTAAATGAACGCATTCCCGGAAGACAAATGGATGCCTGCGCTGATCTGCTGGAGTCTTTCAAGCTGAAATTTATTCCGTTATGTTCAGGAAGAGAGGTCGCTTAGACTGCCAAGTGCACCAAGATGATCCGAGCACAATTTTCCACAGGCTCTACTACTAATGGGAGTGTTACGTCAGTGCTTACCTTTCAGACGTGTGTCACCTCCAAAAACCCCACAGCCCCAGTTCCCTGTAGCCACTGCTGCAAGGTTTTGGCTTTGTTCTTCAGGGCGAGCAAAACCACAGTAGGCCTAAATAAAAACGGAGCAAAGGGAAGATCAACGGCAATATGTTAGAAGGGAAATATAAAAGGAAAGCAAAACACAATTCGATATGATCGGACAAGTGTTCTGTAGCAGACACAAGGAGATTAAACACTGTAAAATATTTGCTGTATCTGAAATCATTCACTATTCTCTACATTCTGAACACTTAATAGTTAAGTTGACACTCTTAGAAAAAAAGATCCTAACTCCCTACGTAGAACCATATGGGGTTCTTTGCCTTGTTACCATCAGAGAACCATTTTTGGTTCCTGATAGAAAAGGTTTTTTATTTATTTATTAATTTATAAAGCTTCCACCTGGAATCCTATCATATCCCTTTTCTACCGGATAATCTCTGATTCTTGAACCAGCTCCAATCAAGTGTCTTGGAACCTTGGTGCTACCTCGCAAACCAGCCCGCGTTTCTGAGTGTTTGAGCGTAATCATTGTAATCGAGGATGTGGTACCAAAATTCTGTTGTTATATACAGTGTATGTTTGTTTTTATCAGAAAAACTAGCACGGACCAACTAATAATGAGACGTGGAAGGCTATCACATGCTATGACATGCTCACTGATGTTGTCATGGTTCGCACTTCAGGTCATGGAAAACCTGCTATTTTTTTGGTTCCAGCTGGGAGCCAACTATTCAGGTTTAAACCAATTTATTTTTGGTTGAAATCCTCCGAATGGCTCAAAATTAGGTGCAGGAACTGGAATGGAACCTGTCCCATGTTGGTGGGAAAAGGGTATCAGGTACCTTGAACCATTTGTTAAAGTTTCCACCAAAAACACTCTCTGGTGATTCTGTCCAGAGCCTTTCCAGCTTCTACGGGCCACTTTATAAATTCCGAGTCTGCGGGGGTCAGCGTAACATGTCCGTTAGGGTCCGCACAAACCCCTTTACAGACATCCACGTGCAGTCCATTTTTTGTAAGCACAGAAAGTACACAGACACCAATCTTTTGTTCCAAATCCACAGTTACTGCAGTCCAGCCAGCTGCAGCCGCCTCACCACTGTGAAATTACTTTCAAGTTGGATATTCGAGGGACATTCACTCCAGACCCAGCTGCTTCTTCTTCGTTTCACTTTCATCCGATGCTGGCAGTAGCAGGACAGTAAGCTCAGCATCCAGCCCTCACGCTTTCTGCTGGGGGCTGACGTGGACCCTAAGTTGTAACTTAGGAGCTGCATGTGTGTCCACGTGACCACAGCTGTCCAAGGACATGTAATACAGAAAGTATGTCCAAGCCTTAAGGGGGCTGATGAGTAGTCACCCGTGGGGGATCAAAAAACAGTTACTGACTACATCATCCATAGATCTCTCTCCCAATAATCATGGTTTTAGTGGTAGTAGTCGCCCAGGAGGGGCTCGAAAACTAGTAACTGATTACATCCCCTACAGATCTCTCTCCATCTAATCATTGTTTTTGGTTAACAGGTTAGCCTGGGGGCCAAGGGAACCATGTCAAGCAGCCTTGGGCTTCATGAGGCTCCTAAAGAGCCGGGGTGGATGTAGTCCAGGGTAACCTACAACACTCATAGTCCACAGTCATGTTTTTGGGGGTGGAGATTTTGTGAAATCACTAATACTACTACAGACTTCACTATTTTAACAGCGCAGTAGGGTTGGGAACCGAAACTAGAACCAAATACAAAATGCCAAGTACCAGGTACCCATAAATAAAAAAGAAGAATTTCAGTAGACATTGTGGTGTCGTATAGCATGACATGATGGTAAAGATATCAACTATGGCAGAACACAAGTAAAATAAATTGATGAAGGGGATTCCACATACATCTAAAAGGTCCACTTGAAACATGGGTGAACATTTGAATATTTGAGGGTGAGGATATTTTAATACCCATGCTTTCAACAATAATTGAAGAACTTGTTTTTCTAAAAAAGGTTCTTTGGATGAAAAAGGTTTGTAATGGAACCCTTGAATCACAAAGAACCCTTGAAAAACCCTTTTGTCGTCTTCTTCTTCTTCAAAAAAAGCAAATAATCTTGGGAAGAACCTCAGCTCTTCGGGAAGAACCTTCTATTCTCTATTGAGATTTTGGACACCTCCGAATCAGCATCATTATGCATTATGCAAAAAGTCAAACGCATGCTGTGAACACTGCATATTTCTTTCATTGTGGGAATTTCTGAGGGCTTGAATCTTAAAATTTGGACATCCAGAAAGGCAAAATCCCCCTGCCAAGTTTTTGTCAACTTTTAGAGAAGAGCAAGAGAAAGCATCCTGACAGAAAACGCCACAAAGTGGGCTCTGCAGCAGGTGATTAAAACCGCCCAGAGCATCATTGGCACTCATCTACCGAACATCAGTGATATCGGTGAGACAAGGTGCCTTCACAGAGCCTTAAGGGAGAAAAAAAAACACCCCAGCGACAGCCTGTTCACCCTGCTGCTGTCTGGCAAGCAATGCAGAAGTATCTGCCGCCATACCACCAGACTACAGAGCAGCTTCTTTCGTCAACTCAACCTCATCTTCCACACTTTTTTGTATAGCATGAAGGGACTACAACTGCATCTCATTGAGCAACCCTGTCTTGCACAATGACAATAAATTAACCGCAAACCTTTCAAATAAAGTGGCTGAAAATGGAGAGTAATTTCAGATACCGCCATTACCCTTCCGTCATCAAAACTGTGAATGAATCAGGTTTTCTTGGGATGACATTACATCAAGTTGTCAGCTACATGAGGTTGGGTTGCTGGAGTAAGTTGGGAATGATGTGTCATTTGGTACATAAAATCAGAATCAGCTCTGAGGAGCCTCAGGTCTTGGGATCACCTTATTGTTCCAGATCACTGGCATGTTTTATAAGAACCAAGCCTATAGAACGTCTCCATGCTATCAAACATAAATGGAAAGCAGCAAAGTAATTCCATTTGCCTGCAGGCCTGCGCCTGACACACCACTCAGTGCATGAGCAAATAAAGGTTGGTTGGCCTGGCTGAACATACTTTTTTTTTTTTTTTAATATTGTGTCATTTGTCAACACTGTGTCATTTCACACCTATTTCCTAAATTTAACTGCAATTGGTGTGAAATAGCGTGGGTTTTATATGTTAATGGCACATTACGGAATAAACCAATATGCATGAACAAGAGCATCTGACATGACATCCCAGGAGGGGCTATGGACATTAATTTTCACATTAGAAATAAAGTGAATGGTGAAAATTAATTGTAAGCGCCCAGCCTCCCCCTGACCAGTCATAAATTCTTCCCGTGAAAGGGCAGACGTGACAGTTAGCTGAACAATATTCGAAACAGAATTGATCTATATGTTGGCGCATTCTTCACACCCTTGTCAGAGCTGTCAAACTCCTCCATGCTTTCTGACTTGACAACATCAACATCTTGATTTTTTATTACAAATGGACATCTCTGACTGGGAAGACTGCACACATGGAGAGATTCCCATTTAAAAAAATCTGTGATGTAAATGTTATTAATGTGATTAATCACCCCGAGGTCAATTATGTTCATTAAAATTCATTCTGGGCCTAATGGACAGTGTAATGAATACGATAAAGCTTGTTCTCTATAAATATGACAATCCATCAGTCTGGATTATATCCATAAAGCACTTATCTACAATTCAAATATTTACCTAGAGAAAAGTAAACATGAGTCAATGTCGTCTCGGCTTACATTTGTTATTCTGTTATGAAACGGTTTCATGATTATCACGCAAATGGATTGACACTGAAGTCATAAAATCTGATGATGTGAAATGGCAGATAAAGTTAAAACATAACATTACTGCAGCCTGTTCAAAAGCCATGACAATGGAAGATCAAAGTGTAACATCAAAGAGCAGTGGTAGATTGCCCCTACACTTCCACTGTCATAAATTATACAAACTTTGTCTACAAAACAAAAAAAAAGCACTTACGGCAGCACTCACCATAAAGTTACAAATACCCGTTTTTCAATGAGCTGACATAATGTTTTGTTTTTGTTCTCAAGTGTTTTTCTTTACACAACCCAGTACTCATGTTTAGTGACATGCAGAGTGGAGATTAACGTTATCACGACACTGGAGTTTCCAACTTTGATACAATACCTTAAAGGATATCAATATTCAATAAGAAATAAACATGTTTACAGCCTGGTACAAAAAAACAGTTTTGGTCTCTTTAGCTAATTTCAACATTAATGACAACTGTACAAGTGGAGTTTTTTTTAAATTTCTCACCCATTTACATTTTATCACGGCCCAAAGTTACACATTTTTAAAGGTGGGACCACTTGATTGAGTCAGATCGACCACTCCAAAAAACCAAGATGCCGATGGCTGAAATGCCAAACATGCCAGAAAGCTAACAAAGCGTGAGGACATATTCACTGAATTTGACAAAGTGTATTGGATTAAAGTCACTAACTGCACCTTTACCATTTAGGACACCTTTAAGACAAGAAAAAGAAGCACAAACACTCAAAGAAAGCAAGCGGGAAATACAGATAAATACAGTAAGATAAGATATAACCTTGTTGAGTTCTCGGTTGAGTCTCACTGGGTGAAACTGTTCAAGAAAGGTCTTGAAATGCAGTGCATCGATCGCCACAATTTCTGTGCATCTTCTCTGCCAGCCATCTCTGAAACAAATGAAATAAATGGTTTACTACCGCTTCACATACAACAAAACAACTGGGCTTTAGTCAAATTGGGGAATTCTTTCTTGTAGCTACATCCACAACAGGAAGTTCCATAAAATAAAGTCAATAAAACCTGATAGAACGCATGCTTTATGACTGTGACTGACTGTTCCCTGACTGTGACAAAAGGTCAGGGGGGCACTAAATTTAATACAACTCATCCCAAGGGAGACATGAATGTGTGTACCACATTTTAGGTCAACCTCAATTTTGGCACTAAGGGATCCAAAAGTCAGTAGGATCCATCTTCTGGGGACCATGAATGTCTGTAGAAAATGTGATAGCAGTCCATCCAATAGTTGGACCAGCTGAAATTGGGCTACCATGAGTTAACACAGCTAAAAATGATTGTAATGAAGGGGTTAACTAGGTGTTGGTGGTGGTATCAAGATAAAACGGTATTCTGAGGTATTCAGAAATCTTGAGGGTTTGATATTCTACACAGTCAATCATACAGATGCTCCTCTTTCTACAAAACTGAAACCGATATGCTGTATTGTGGTGATGTGCTGTAGTGCACAGCACGTGCCACCAGAGGTCAGTCTCTACTTGTTGAACTGGCAGCTGCACTGAAAAAATAGTGACTCTGGTGGCCAGAATAACGTTACAGGATTAGCAAAATAGAAAAATGCCTCTGCTCTTGTTTCGGAGCATTGCCTCATATAACTTTATTTTAAGATTACTTCGTTCGACTACAACAGCAGGTTGTTAGCCCCATTGCTGACACGTTGCCAATGTCAACAAGTGTGATTGGGAGGCTTATTTCCTATGTATTTATTATTCTGTGTGCCATAAGTATTTAACCCCAGCAAGACTTGTCTAATATGCTCAATGTTAGATATGGAGATGGATGCCGCCCTCTGCCTGTGCTCTGCATTCATTTTGTTCATATTTGTGCATGTTTTCTAAAATCTTACATATATGGACGAAAAGGAGCAGTACCACCTCCTTCACCAACTCACAAGGTTCACGGACTAAACAACTGTCTTATACTAAACATGTTTTCCAAACAAATATAACATGCTAACGTTATTAGCACAATCCTATGGCATTTCACAAATAAGCCTAGTGACGAGCGGAGATTTCCTCTGCTCATATGAAGCCAGGATGAATTCAGAAGTATAAATCCCCGAAGGATAAATCACACACAAGATTTAAAATGCTGTTTTTGTGGAGGCTTTATTGTCTTGTTACATTTCTGGGGAGGTGCACGTTAGGCTACGGCGTAGGGTAGCTACGGCATCGATACAAAGCAGAAGTATAAATTCCGCCTTAAGCAGACTAATTGCATAGTAGACACAAAACACTGTAGGCTAGAGAATGACATACATGCTACAATGACTTCTATTACCAGTTGCTCAGCTTCATTTTATTTATTTATTTTAACACAAACACCATTACACACCACAGTAAAATATCAGAAAGGTATGAAAAAACAGATACCTTAGCCGCCCAAGTGTAGGTTAGACATAGCATCCTGTTATTATTTAAGCATTTCAAATCATAAATCATAGAGGTAAAATAAATACCTTGGAGTTGTGTCCTGGTGGCTGCCGCCCCACTGGTAGGTATGAGCATATCCTGTGTATTTGCTGTACTGCTGCGTACCTGGAAGAAACACACAGAGACATTAGTCACACACAACTGCAAAGCAGTACCACATTAGTTTTGATTTTTAAACATGGTTAGAATAAACAAATACTTTTAGTCTTCTACTGGTGGCTGGAAGGCAGTAAGATAACACTATGTTAACATGCACAGAAATCCAGTTTAGATTACCAGTGATGCTAAAATAAAAAAATGATTTAAGGTGCATGATGTAATAATCCTCACAATCAGTGTGTTTTTGATTCAACAGAGACTTACAAACTCTATCATGATTGCCATTTATAAACTCAAAATGGTGGATAAATTATGCTAACAAGAACATGTGGTATATAACACCCCGTAAAGCCAACAACAGGCTCTTAAACAGCCATCTAAATATATTTAAATATTCATTCATATTAACAATCAAATAAAAAAATACACAGCAAAAATTCTAAGAAAATGAATTACATACAACTGGTTATTCTTTGAAATGGTTGCACAGGCAATCAACAGAAGAAATCGCCACAAAGATTCATTGTAATAACAAAAGGTTTTAAGGGGGCGTGTCCCTAGTGATTCTGCCTGATGTGATCGGATGAAACAGGAGCAGCTGTCTCCTGACAAGAGGAAGGTCAAGTTATTACCCCCCCTTGAAACGACATGAGAAGCAGTGACTGACCGCCAGCCCACAGGGGACCACTCAACACCAGCGAAAGGGGGGAGCGGAGGGTGGGGAGGCAACAGCACAGTCAAACAAATGAGGCCACAAATTAACTTCCCATTCATTAGCGCTCATTAGTACCTGGCTGTCGAGAGCACTCGCTGAGATGCTTCACGCTGCAAAGTGAATAAACCAAGTGATTAGTAGCGGGGCTTGGTCAATAGGTATTAGGAGCTGCAGAGGGGGGGAGGGAATCTCTAGAGCGCACTCCACTTGACAGACATTTCACTAATAATCAGCCTGCCTCTCGCTTTTTTTAAAGTAATAAGCACAATTACTGCTGGAATAAGACACTTAAGTATCTAATCTAGTTCACCAGTGTGCCAATATAACACACAGAAGGAAAAAAGCAGAATGGGCAATACACTCATTAGGTTTAGATTTATTCTGTGGTCAGCCAATCCATACAACCACAGCAACAGCTTTTCACAATCCAGCCACTGGCCACAAACAGATACTTCAACTTGCTCCAGCCTCGGAGCTAAATGAACATTTGTATCTACACTAGACTGACAGCTCTTATGCTACCAGCACCGGAACGACTGAAGGCTCTAGAACCCATGGAAGTCAAATGATGTGAGTTGGATTGCAACTGATGATATGGGCGTGTAGATATGAAGGAGTTCGGTACAAAGGGGCTTGATTATGAAGGGCCTTAAAGGTGAGAAGCAGAATCTTGAAATGGATGTGATATTTAACAGGAAGCCAGTGAAGCTGCTGGAGAACAGGAGTGATATGATCTATGGAGGGGGCTCTGGTAATGATACGAGCAGCTGAATGCTGGACCATCTGAATTTATTACATTAGTTATCAATTCTTGTCACTCAAAGTGTGGCCCGTGAACATGACATGAAATGCCTGCATTATATTTTTAATAATCTGCAGACCATTTCTATATTTTACTTTCAATAGCTTACATTTATTACACTATTAGGCGATTGAATCAAACTGTGCCCCCCTAACAAGTGTCTGTGAGGTTAGAACAGGGCTCCAGACTTACTTTCCTGCTGGTAGCACTGGTGCTAGCAACCTTCTGAGTTGGTCGCACCTGCGCGTAATTAATTTTTTAAGATTTTTTTTCTCACCTTTTTTGATAGGACAGTATTTAAGCATGAAGGGGAGAGAGAGGGGGATGACATGCAGTGGAGAACAGCAGGCTGGAATCGAACACTGGGCCGCTGCAGCGACCAAGCCTTTGTACATGGGACACCCGCTCTAATCACAGAGCTACTGGGCACCCCCTCACCCCTTTTTTTGTTGTCATTACTATTATTTAAGTCCTTTTTTTGTATCCAATGGCTGAAAAAAATGTGAAAATGATAACTGTGCTACTTTGGTTCTGACGCTGCCGCCTCTCTCTATCTGCAGTCACCTTTCTGAAGCCTTGCTCAAAAGCTGCCATGTCACAGACACCAAATACAACACAAACCGAAGCTGCTACGGGGAGGTTGCATTGCTTCGTGTCAAATGTAAGGCTGCAGATATAACTGAAGTTGTAATAAACATCACAATCCTCGGACCCGGAGAGAGATGTGACCGGAATATAATAGTTTGTAAAAATGTCGCACAGTAACAATACAGACATTTCATACACCAGACGTAATATGGACCTGGTGATGCCCATTTAACACTCGTTAGACACGTTTATGAATCAACTGTCATCTTGACATTGTTAGTAGAGACTTCAGTCCGCATCGTGCACTTGTATAACTGCGACCACATGAATTTTTAACTCCCACACTCTAAAAAAATGGTCACACATGCAACCATTTTGGTCGCAGTCTAGAGTCTGAAGTTAGGAATGAAACTTGTAAAAAGCTACTGAAAACTGGTGGCACCTCGCAGGTGTTGTAGGCATTATGTTTTGGCATCGATGCCAACGCTTTTTAGCTTAAGTAAGTGATTACGATGGACAACTTGCAACTGAACATTTCCTGTGCGACCCTCAATCATATACTGGCTCCATAAATTTGCACTGAGTCATCAAAATTTTGAGCACCCCTGTTAAAATATTCTGACAGCTTTACAGTATGACTAATGCATTACAACAGCCAAGTGGCAAATAAATCTTATGCTTTTTATTTGGAGAAACTCTAATGAGATGCAGAAACTGAGCTAACAGCATTACCAATAAATGAAACGGTTCTACTTTATACTTATAAATCCACTGTCTTGTTAAAAAAAAATTACAAATGTGGATTAAAAATGAGTTTCAAAACATTATTATTTCAGTTATATTAGTTATGTTAGAAATGAAATACAGAAAGGCAAATTATGTTAAGTTCACTACAAGATACCAAAAACAGACGTCGGCGTAGCTGATACTTTTTAACACTCCTGCCGTAAACCTAGAAAGCTTTGTGTTCACTATGCATACACCTGACCTTTACTGGTGCTCCAAGAATATCATCCTCTATGATAAACTATATTTGCGTTTGAAAGAAACAACCTTCAGGAACAATATCAATTCTCATATTTTATTTTTTATGTAAGTTATTTGTAGTGAGAAGCAGATCAATCTCGGTCGGAGAAAGACGTGTCTGGTTATTAGAAATGATTTCTAAACAACGAATAGGTTGCATAAGAATCAGCAGGTATGATTCACAATGTTCCTGAAGGTTGTTCCTTTCATGTGTAAATACATGGAAACAAAGTGTCTCATATTTGTGGTGGACCGGAGACTGTAAAAGGTCAGAGGCGCATCTCATTGCTATGTTGAAGAAAAAGTGGGCAACTAAACACTGTTTCTCAACTGTTGAAAAATTAGCAAGATTTTGTGCAGAGTCAAGATAAATGTCTTTATATCTCCTGCTTGCGTCAAGCTTGCATCACAATTTCTGGTCACTATTAACATCGATGAATCATGTGACTTCTCCTTGGTACTGTTTATACTTTTGACCGCCCTGATGGCAGCCACATATCCAGCAATCAATGAGAATTCAATTAGGCCCGGGCACTTCTGCAAATTTCAGTGCAGAGCTAAGATCCATTAGCTTCCCTACTGTATGCCAGAACGTATCACAGGGGGATATGATTTACCACATGGCCACAATACAGCTAAGGCTTGGACTTGGCTTTTACAACGAGGGACAGGAGATACGGGCAGGGTTTAATAAAGATGATGGAATGGAAGAGTCCATTAGTGGAGCAGGTCTTGGGCAGGTCTTCCAGCTATAATTAATTCTGGGCCCCACTAATAAAGTTAAGTGGCGTAAGTGGAGGCGAGGGAGAGATGGCCAGCAAGAAGTCTGAAGGTGACTCTGCCAAAGCGAGAAGACCTGATGCAGTGGTATGATTGCTGATCAGGAGGGCGGAGGCTCCATTGCCTCACTTCCTGTTCTTATCCAACCCACTTGTTAATGCAATGTTGAGGCAGTAAATCTATATATGGGTGGTGGGTGTTTGTGTTGTAACAGTGATTCATGTAATGGACTTGCATTTATTAAAATTCAATTTTAAAGCTGAGGTAGGCAGTTTTATTTTGCCGTCAATGGGCAAAAATCCCACAATAAACCATGAGTGTATTGTAATTCAAGCAGAGAGAAAACTAGACTTCTGTGCCTCCTCTTGGCTCTGTATTCAGGCATTAGGTAGACTTTGGCTAATTTAAGGCAATTTCAGAGAGAGGGGGCATTCCTCTTGGCTGTTTCACAAATGCAGATGCGAATACTTTCGGTACAAGCCTGATTCAGTGGTGCAAAGTCCTGCAGAGAAAGGTGCTATTCCAGCATTGACAACCACTGCCTACACTGCAACACAACCCACAAAAGGAAGACAGACATACTTAAAAGAGGGTCTGACAGTAAAGGAAATATAACATGTGTCAATACCAGCAAATGTTTCAGAGATGGAGAGAAAATGTTGCTAAGAGTTTAGCCTTCTGCTAACTACAGCCAAAGGCTCATGGCTGCATGTTTACATTTATCTAGCTATTGTTAGATGGAGCCTTGAATCACTTCCTGCCACTACAGAGCAGCTTGCAGGGAGGAGAGTAGGCAGCAACTTTGGAGACTGACCCCCAGTCAGTGGCTACAGCAACCCAATCTCAATGAGCAAAAACCCCAGCTCCAGGGGACTGCAGCCCAAACTCCTCACTGGATCGGCAAACTTTCTGTTGCTGCCTTTACACAGTTTAGACCCGGTGCTGCCGCTATAACACCCTGCACTGGGGTATTTGCACTGGCTGAATTTAAGCTCCTAAAGCCGCAGACCAAAGCTTCATCTCCCAAGCTGCCTTCTGTTAAATCAGTCCACAGCAGCAGGAAGTGAAGCAGAGAGCTAGCTGGCTAATTCTTGTCTCATTTGTGGTCTCATAAACAGAGATTGAGAGCGGGGTAAGGAGGGTCTGAACGAATGAGCTGTGCAGAACTCTACAATGAAATAAGATTAAATGAATTGATGTATAGGAAACACTGGGTTAATGTATGAAGTGCATGCATATGCCTGTGGTCATCTGGTGGAAGGGGCTTAGGACAGGAGAGGGAAGAGCTGGAGAAGAAGGTGTTTTTTCGAATTCAGCCTTTCCCATATTTTTGCATACTTTCCTTTTATAGACCATTTTCTCTAATATAATGATAAAACTGAAAACTGGAACTTGTACAGTATTAATACACCATTTTTTTGATAATGTTAACTGTAATTGTTTTTACCTCACTGTGCCAGGCACCTGGGCTAAAATACATTGCTACAGTTACAGCTATTTATGCCAGCTATAACATGTATGTACTTCCGTAGGCTTCCGTCACTTTTGAAAAGCTATTGCTATGTTACACAACATGGTTTTCTAACCTCTTCATCAAACGCAATCAAGCAGCTCCAACAGTCTAGACAAACAGGGTTAGACAGATAAAAGAAGACGGAAAAACAGACAGGAGCCATCAGCCTCCTGCTGGGGCTCCTTAAGTCTAGCTCTTGTTATCGGGTCTACTGGCCTGTCCCAACCTTGTTTGTTGCAACCGCTCGATACTAAAGTACAGTCAGTGGGAATTACTCAACAGAAAGACACCAACAGAGCAATCAGGACAGCCCAATCTACAACTCCCGACTGATGCAACTCTCACCTTTTGCAGCCAATCAAAAAGAAAACAAGTGACAAGGACAGATACAGAAAACAGGGCGACTGCCACAAACATCCCTCGGCCTCTTGCTGAGCCAGAACGTGGTAAATTGAAAGTGTGTACTTCAAGCTGTGTGTGACGACAAACGCCTTCTATGCTTCTTCTGTCAAATCATAGGTCAAGCATGAGACAAGCGAACCCAGGGGCATTATTGATCTGCTCTGGATCAACAGACTAAATCATGAATAATTGAATAGTAGGATTTGTTCAGTGGAAATAGTTTTTACACAAGGTGTAGGAGAATGTTAATAACAGACCTGTGATGATCAGACATTCATTATCATCCAGGGCTTCGGTGAAGAGGCGAGAAGCGATAAGCTCGGGGTTGATCAGGAAACGGATTTCCTCTTGGACGAGCCCGGAACTGGTGACTCCTCCTCCCACATACTGATTAGCAAAATCCACCTGCAAATCAAGACAGATTAGTAAGGATGATGGAGATGGAGCATCCATGCCCTTGTAGCATCGACTGATTTTTTTTGTCACATAACTAAACGCTTTCTTTGATTGTGAAATTTCTAGTTTTCCAAACTTGGCCAACAGGAGGAAAACACCTCATGAAAGGGTCTCAGCCCTTGTTCTTTTATTTGTGACAGAATCCCTGACAAGCTCATTGGGAAGGTGGCCCGAGGTGCTCGCATTACTCAGACGTCTGTCCCCCATGCCGAAATGCGCTCTCCCCAGGAGCAGCACTTATGTGTGCTGCTGCCAGTAGCAAATATCAAAACATGAGAGCAGCCCTACAGTCCAAAGCAAACATCTCCCTCCAGTCACAACATGCTGCTAAACTGACTGCTGACTGATGCCTTGCTGCTTGTGTTTTCTCAGGTTTGTGTGCAGATCTACGGGTGACACTGATTTATTTGTTTATTTTTGGTCTGTTTATGAAAAAAACAACCAAAAAAAAACCGCATATCATCATTTCAGCTCAGACACAGACGTGACAACTTATTTTTTAAGTCAGAAAGCAGCCATGTGGAACACATTGTCCATTTTCTGGACTGACAGTTGTTGCTCATTGGCCTATAGCCAGCGCAGACTAACCCTGTCACAACCCCCAGGAAGAAGCTGCAAAGGAGCAAGCAGCATTCTGAGAGCAGATCTCCCCAAACTGGTCACTCAACTCTGGGACAGCGAGCCAGCCTCCAAAGTCGGCTTTGACAGGCTGTCAGCAACCCCCCCCCCAACACCCCAACAGAGCATCCATCAATCGGGGCTGCAGTGTGCCCCTGGAGCTGGTCATGTGTGCACATCAACTGTCAGCCGGTGGCAACTGGAGGCAAACAAAAGGTGAAAGGCAGAGCGGGCCGTCCTGACAGTGTACAGGAAGCGCAGTCGACACAGAGAGCAGAGGAGGCTCAGAGGCCTCGACCCCAGTCCCAGCACACACTCCTTCCGACGTGTCACAGCCTCCCTCAAAGGCCTTTTCAGCAGTAGTAAGCATTCTGGGTGAAAGACAATGTGGTGGCTCAGTGACTGACTACAACAGAGGGAAAAGCGGATGGGGAACCAAACACAAGGTGGAGCATCCCTCAAACTAAAAGCTCCTTTAAACAAAAGAATTGACATCCCTCTAAATCACACCATCATGCCGGCTAGAGAACACTTCTGCAAACCATTTGGGTGCCCTAAGCGTAACTGCTTTGTGGTGCCCCCCCACCTTTTTTGACTTCATGCCCCTGACACATAATTAATTTTTATCATTTTCATCAATTATGTAGATCACATTGCCCATAATGGTCTAAAGCCCCGATCAGACAAAGCATGTTGGCTTCTTGCAATGGTTTTAATGAGAGTGAAGTGTTTCGCTTGCTTCTTTTGCGTTGTCCAGAGCCTTGCATTTTTCCTCTCTTTGCACATCATGTTTTTGCAGGAGTGCAAAAACATGAGGGGTTGAAAATAATTCAACTCAGGGCACAAAAGTTCCCGTCGTCATTGGTGTTTTTTCCCCATTGTCCAATTGGATGAATTGAGAGGTGGGCCTTCAGTGGACCACCCCACATAGTTTGTCTTAACTCTTAACGTCACCCTAGGAAAGCTGCAAGACATATCTAAACAAATTGTAGTCCTAATTCCTTTCTTACGTTTAACCAACCATAATTAGGCCTGAGGTTTGACAGCAGATTGTCAAACTGTCCCAAACTCATCCTAAATAAGCCTTAAACCAGCTTCCTGCTGAAGCTCCAGGATCAGCAGGTGGTACGATACTCTCCGTGATTTCTCCTCTTTCTGAGCATCTTGTGTACCGACACGGATTTCCGTTTCCCTGTGTCCTGTACCTAAGTGCCCTCTGCTAGACTTTAATCTGCAGATCTGTAAGTATACTTGACAGCGAAATTGTGGTTAAGCTAAGGACAGGTGATTCGTTGGTTGCCAAGCAATAATGAAAATATCAAAAAAGACGCAGCAAGCTACAAAAAGCGCTGTCTGATCGAGGCCTAATGGTGCCTATTGTAGTGGTGCCTCATCTTAAATTGATATAGTTCACTTTATGATTAAGATGGATAATTATTGGGTGTTTTGATGCCCTTTCTAACACTTAATGCCCTATGCAGTGTGCATGTACCTGAAGCTCTGTGTCTTACCTGAAGCATTCCATAACCATCATCCTCAATGGTGCCTTCACACGTAATGTGGAGCTTTGTGAGCTGAGTCTTTGAGCTGAAACACAAAGAATGAATCATTTTTGAGTTTTTGACTACCGCTGAGACAACGGATCCTTGTAGAGATTTTACAATTCACATCATACTGCTACTGGTGATAATATTTTTCTTTGTACACAGAGTCAATACACTGCACCTTTTCCAATTCAGAGGATCTTCCAAGCTTCTTCGTGTGAATGTTACAAGTCCAGTAGGCTCTGAAAAGCAAAACAAGGGGTAAAGTAACACATTTTAATATTGTATCTTACTTGACATGAGTAACGATGTATTGCAATGTATTAAAAAATGAAATGTGAACACCTACTTTGTTCAGTGAAAGTTTGGAAATAGCACATCAGGGTTTTCAGCTTCTCAATCTTCCTTGAAGATGAGCTCTCAAACAGCCTGAGGGCAAGAACAGATTATACATTTAATTCAGTTCTTGGTATTAGACTACATAATATGTTCCTCTTCTATTACTCTTTAAACATGAAGGTTAAACATGGCATCCCAGCCAACCACCAACTCTTTTAGTTCACTGTAGTTTAAACAACTGCAGCATATGGGAGAAGTTCTTGTTGCAGGCCGCTTCCCTGCGAAAATATGTTTATTTTAACCCAAACCACGACTTTTTCTTTATCTTAACCAAGAAATCCCTTTTCGGTAAAAAAGCCCTCTAAGAAAACTTCTCCCAACTGCCAGCCAAGACCAGGAGAAATAACTCCCCAGTGCCGTCGAGACACAAGACCTCCACTTAAGCCATGTGAGTGCAGTCATGCTTTAACTTTTGATATGAATTAGTTCATCTCTCACTCAGCTTCCCTTTCAGTCACTAGCTGATTATGTAGGAGTTCCTTCGCTGTTACGACAATGGAGTCGCCCCAGGCTTGCCATCACAGAGTCACACTCATGTGCCATTTTACAGCACTCACACACACACACAAAAAAAGGGAACAGGGAGGGAAACAGGGCTCCCTCCTTGGGGGTACATTAAGAAGCCCTGTGTCCCTTTTAAGCAACAGAGTCCTCAGGAGGCAAAAGGTCAATCCCCCTGAAAAATAACACACAAATACACACACACACACAAAGCTGCTGCTGGTGGTGAGGTGTAGTGGGCGGGTTTGAATGCACTTTCAGCATAAAACCCACCGTCTCGAGCACGGCCCGCCTCACATGCCACAATAAAGAGACAAGAAATTCCATGTGAGTGAAATGAAATTACGACAAAAGCTTGATGCACTGAGAGCCCTTCAAGGGCTGAGAAACTCATTCATCCAAGTCAGCTCCTGCATTCATTTTATTTTTTGTCAGCATGGCCCCTAGAAACAATCGTGCGTCTTGCAGTCCTCGGGGCAAACGTCTTTGACATAAGTCAGCCACTGGTGAGAGCAGGCTTTTAGTAACATATTGCAGTATGGTCTTTGAGAAACAGAGAATTAATACACAATTATATAACATCAATATACCCCCCACAGATGTAAAAAAGCTATGATGTAACTCAGGAAAACAGTTTAAGTGACTACAGTATGTGTAACAGCTGGGTTTCTGCATCATCAGCACAAGAAAACCAGTCTCGAAAAACACAGAGCTAAATAATAAATAGAGTTTGCTATTGAAGAATACTTGAAGGAGTGACAGATCCAACATTTAATACGCAAACACACCCAAACAAACAGTCATAATAGTCAGCATTATCTCGATGCAAATAAGAGGTGTGCATCAAGATAAAAGAACTTCCGAGGATAAACAGCTTTGTTTTTATTTCCTCTACCTATTCCTGTGGGAAAAAAAGCAAGAAAATAACTTTGGAACCGACAGATCTTTATCAAAAAAATAACATCAGAATACATGAATGATTTCAAAAAGAAACTCAAAGCTGGCTCAAACCAAATTGGCGATTCAGGACCATTTTTTTGCGGCAGGCTAAAAAGACAACACTGGCTTTCCTTTTCAAATCACAGCAGAGACCTTTATGTGAATGAAATACTGATGCAATTGAACTCTGTTACAGCCTTCTGCAAAACAGCCAATGGCCTTCTCCATTGTCAAAAGCAGCCATCTGAGTCAATGTTAATCTAATTCCCTCCTCCATTTAGGTAATTACACTGTGATGCCAACAGAGATGGGGGACATGACTGAGCAGGGATCTGCAGACTGTTTCTGCATTACTCCACCCAGACGATCTCCACAGTGAAAGCCTGCAGGGATTAAAAAAATACCTTCATGCCCTCGTCTTTGTCATATTTGATGCTTTGGAAGGAAAAGGTTTGGCTCTGAACTACACGTAAAGAAAGGGTCTTAATGTTCTGCTAAAACTGACCAACAAATAGTATAGCAGTGTATAGTTGTGCCAAGTATTGCTGGCTAAAGGTGTAAATACCTCAGAGTGATCACTGTGTCTGATCAATAAGACAATATTTGCTCATGTGTAATTAAATCTACGTACAATGCAAACATTTGGTTTGACACCAAGCCAGATGATAAAATGATTAATGAAGAAAACATATACAGTAGTGCCCCCTCATGGAAATGAAACTAGTTGTCACGGCAGCATCATTTCCAAACTGATCATGCAGGGTTCCTGCTAAGGGTGGGTGATATGGCCCTAAAATGATATCACGATATTTCAGGGTATTTTTGCAATAACAATATTCTTGACAATATAACAAATTAGTAAAATATATGTATATACATAGAATTGTAACAAAATAATTGACATAGTATAACATGTTAACAGTTTGCCTTCAAATATTCAGTAAAAACTAAACTAAAATAATCTCTCATTTCTTTAGTTTGTGAACAACAGCAGTAACTCCGAGTGAGATTCAGATTCTGTATACAATATTATAAGTTCAACAAAATAAAATCTACCACAAATTACACATTTAAACAGCTCCCAAATACAAAAAAACATCCCCTGGGATCTATACATACAAATGAACAGGTGATTTCCTTCTATTTTAGCAAAATCCTAAATGACTGAGTTGTGTTTTTTCCACCTGGACCTTTATGCTCTGCCATTTCTCCTCTAATCATCACGCTGTAACCTGGGACAGGCTGTTATGATACCACAACTACCACACATTCACATATATGTAGTTTTCTGTTGGGCAGCGAGCATCACGTATGTTTACATTACCAAAGGTTTATGACAAAATCACTTGACGACACCGACTCCTGTGTGCGCACGGTGAGAGAGGAGAGGGAGAGATGCTGTGCTGCTTCCAGAGGAGCCGCTCAATGAGTTCCCTCTGCAGGGAGGGTAACACACCGTATCTTGCCAAAAGAGTCTAAAAAGTCCGAGGCTGTTCATAGAACATTCAGGACGCCCGGGCCTAACGATGCGACACTTTATTCCACACCTCTCAAGGTGCTCCTCTTTTTGGAAACACCGCAGGGGCCGGTATAATTTTGCTTTCAGCCCTATTACAATATGAATTTTTCATATCATATTAAAAATTGTACCAGTATTATCGTGAACGAGATGATATGCCACACACAAGTGAGATTTAAGACTTTTTGAGAGAGACTTTTTTTTATGCCACTCGGAATTAAGTTTTAAAACCAATTCTACAATAACCAAAACCGACGAGAAAAAAAAATTAACTAACACCAACTACTTAGGGTTTGCCCAAATGTTTATCGAAACACAAAAAATGACTTTTTTTGCCACGTGGCAGGACGAGGGTAGATCCGAACTGGAACCCTAACTGCACAGTGACAGCTAGCTAGCAGACAATAATCCTCTGCTGTGAGCATCCTGGCCAGAAACAAATTATCATAGTTGCTGGTTTCATTATCCTGATCTGCGTGACGTTGGTAGAAGCAAAAAATCTTGCTTCCCATTGCTGAGCATTTTTAAGACTTTTAAAAGACTGATTTAAGACATTTAACACCAGTTAAGGCCTTATTTTAAGATTAATGAATTAAATGCCTTTTAAGACTTTTTAAGGATCTGCAGGAAGCACGTTTGTGTAATTCTATGCATCATGTATAAAACTTCCACATCCCCACATTACCTGAAGAAGTTGATGTCTGGGTAGTTGCGGTACTCAGTCTTTCTGGAGTTGCGTCGGGGGAAGGTGCAGAAGAAGGCGTTGGCGAGCAGACATGCCACCTGCTCCTGAGACATGGTGATGGAGTGGTTCGTGCCTTGCTTGAGGAGGGGTATCGGCTAGAGGAGGAACAGAGGTACAGCTGAGGAAGGTCAAAATAATTTGTTTTGTCAATTTGCCAAACGAGGCATAGAAGTTGAATTAATGCCACTAATTTGGCACCACTCTGTGCTTCTTGAATCAGCCATCATAATTACAATCAACGTTCATCTTTACTCACAAGAGACCCAGACTCCTAATAAAGGCTGTGGGTTTATAAATAAACAGCGCATCTGTGTAAGTAACTCTGTAATGACAGGGGGAGACCTTGTTGCATCAAAGACCAACAGGAAAAATGACTTTGTTTGGCTACAAGTAGCATTGGCAAAATGAAGGAACACACAGCAATATTGATAAATACGATGGATTTAATTCAATTTGCTTGCTGTTCAACAGGCTTGTAGTACAGGGGGCTTCAACTTTTTTTAGTCCAAGGACCCCTTAGCTCCAAGAGAGATGGAGCAGAATGAAATGAGAAATAATTTTTGTTTCTTTTTTATAATATTTGAAGGCAAACTGTAAAACTATATCACAGATTTTGTTGCAATTCTATTTTCCAAAATTAATAATACATATTTTTTTTTTTACTAATCTATCATATCGTCAAGAATATCTTTATCACAAAAATACCCTGAAATATCGTGGTCTTATTTTGGGGCCATATCGCCCACTCCTAATGTCCGTACACTTGAAATAATAATAAAGGTCATTGGCCAACATGTTTTAATAGAACGCAAATGTTAGCTTGGTTCACCTCATGGATAAGTGCTGCAAATTTAGCTTTAGCTAGCTAATATGACTGCACAAAGATTCATGGATAACAGTTAGTAGTAGTATTAATCTCTACATCTCTCCGCCTTATACATAGACCGGTTTTCCGGTCAGAATCAATTGAATTCTAGGTCAATTTTAGACTAGCTACTCAATTTTTAAATGTTTATCGTACCGTGAAAATCGTATATATTCTATTTGACTCTACCAAAAAAAAATAACTGATCGCAAAAATTATTATGGGAATAGAAATCAACTCGTCCCTTCAAAAGACAACTTTCTGTGCTACTCATGTAGACTGATGTTTAATTTTGATGGCCTACAACACTGAGTTTACTACACTTGTCGCTACATGCATTGCATTACCACAATGCTGTTTGCTTGGGTAATGGTTTTATCGGTGCGGACCATTTTGAGTGTTAAATGCACCAAACTACAAATAATTTTTTTTTTCTTTTGATGGGACTTTGTCGGTGGCAAACACACACTGCTCTTTATCATCCACACGCCAAAGAACGAGATGACCAAGACGTCTATAAAACATTGGGCAAATGACCGTCAATAGCTACGTGCCTTGACCTCACAATTTTTTACTACCATCTCACAAGATTATTTGTCATGTCGTGACCTTTGGGATCAACCTGCTGCAGTGATCTACTGTGTCGGACACCAGTGAGCTGGTGTCTGTTGGTTAGTGATGGCTGTTACCTTGGTACAGAGCTCAGATGCTCTCAGTGCTAATTGCACCATGTCTGGCAGCAGGGAGTCAAACAGATGTTCAGCAGTATCAGGCTCCAGGACCTTGGAGAGAGCGAGAGATCTGTTTATGTTTGTTGTTTTGCCACAAAACTCAGCTGTGACATTATTAGCTGTTTGGGTTGATTAGGGCAGACAGAGGACGGATCAAATTAACAGTTCGGATTCATATCAAAATTTTGAGGCTTTATGTACAATTTTACTGGTAAACAAATATTAATGAAATATAAGCAATGCAGAACATTAAATGGCAAAACCCTCTTAAAAAAATTGTAAAATTCCGCTATTCAACTTACAATACTGTGCGTGTAGGAGTAAAACAGCTAGTGGAAAATAAAAAACCTGAATATTTTTATTTATTCATTTATTTGGACCCCCATTAGTCACTACAAAGGTAGCAACTACTCTCCCTGGGGTCCACACAAGCAGACATTACTTCATAGAGTAAAACAAATATATGACTAAAAATCCAAGGCAAAACGAAACAAAATACAACCAAAAAACAGGAAAACTACAAAACAAAAATTTAGAAAACAAACATATAAACGAACAAAACGAAAACAAACAAACAAAACCGAAAGATTAACCACAAAATAGTCAGAAATTATCAGAAAAAAAGAAAAAAAGAAAAAGAAATAATTGACTATTACCTCACACTGCACATTTAAAGGAACAGTGTGTAAGATTTAGGGGGATTTAGTGACATCTAGTGGTGAGGACTGCAGATTGCAACCAGCTGAAACTTCTCCCGGTGAAAATTCCCTTAGTATTCACTGTGTAGGAGGTTTTAACCGAGAGTTGAATTATCACAGAGGTCTCTCCAAAACAAACGGAACGGGTAATTTAAAAACACTGAATAAAGCAGTTTCACATTAACAAAAATCAGTGTTTCTCCAACAAAACCGTCGTAGACGTGAAAAAGCAAAAACACGAATGGCCCTATCTAGAGCCACTGTTTGGTTTGTCCATTGTGGGCTACTGCAGAAACATGGCATTGCAACATGGTGATCTCCATGGAGGAGGACTGTGGAGGATAAATGTAAAAAGGTAATAAAAACACAATTTGTCTTATTATCAAGTGATTATACACAAAAGAAAACATACTTATCATATCCCAAATCGGCCAGCATTTCCCCCTCAATCCTACACAATGGACCCTTAGAATTGACTTTTGAAAGACATGGCTTCATATCATTAAAAACATCTGGCTTAAGCTGGACAGTTTGCCTACAATAATACCCTCAGAAACAAATACTACAGTAACAATACTGCATTAGTGCACTAATGTGTCTTAGACAATATATACTACCCGTATTTACGCCCGTATTGCTTCAAAATGTCAGAATGATCAATCACAAAGCAATTTCATCAAGGTTGCACGGCCATGCCAGCTGATTAAACAGTCTTCCTGGAAGAGATGCAAATGACCGAGCGTTTGAAACAGAAAGGACAGTGTGTTCCCAGGACAAGGAGCCTTGACTGGTGATTTAGCAAAGGACATTTATATTATGGCAAAGTAAGCCTGACTAAACACTGTCATAAGTAATGACCTGGTTGACTTCATAAACTGCTCCTATGGCCGTAATAAATGACGCCAGCTGACAGGGCGAGACGGTGGATATAGCTGAGGTAGTATAAGCCAAGCTCTTTAAATCAGCACAAGATAGTGCATCAAATCAACTGAACTAACACTCGGTATGACTTGATACAGGTCTGTACATCACGCCAAACTGACAAAGTAATCAAGCAAGATGCGGGGGTGTGGGCAGCGCGAAACCAGAGCTCCCATACAGATTTACACAACCCACTGACACTCTTGTTCCTATTCCCAACAGGTCTGAGCAATAAAGCAATCTGCTTGACTGCGTCTGTGGACGTTTTACCGTGTTAAAATAAAACACTTGCGCGCTCATAACCGTAAATACAACACTGGTTGGGCTGGAGAGAGGGAAATGGACCAAACCAACCCTGTCTGTCAACTGCTTCTCAGTTATTCATAAGTTGTGCATGCCGAGATGAATATTCAATGAGGGTGCCTGGCCCGTCACTCTATGCCATTCATGTCTACGTTTCTCTGACACTCAAAATAAGTCTGCTCCTGTGTCTCAAATCTGGCTCCTCCAGAGGAGAAGTAACAAACTAAAAAATGTGATCCATCCTTCACATTGCATTGTTTACTTGTGTGTTGCACTGGAAACAACTCAAATATATAGGATCCTCTCTGATTGGTTTTTAAAATTAAATATGTTCAACACCACCACTATATTCAATGGCCTATATGAGCTGCTTCCTATCAATGCATTACAAATACTGCACATGTAGCCTAATAGCTACCGCCTCTGTTGCATATTTGACTATTAAAAAATAGATTTATTTCTCAGTCGAGCTGCGAGTAAATTCTGTAAGGGACAGAGGCAATAAACAGTCTTTGTTAAGAGGAACTGTGTGTGTCAACTTTCCAATAATATAGAACATAAATAAAGCAAACGTATTTTATGTGAGCTACAATGTCTTATAGTAGGTGACTCTACAAAGTTACATGAAAGTTTCTAACATGAAAAACAATTGTGCCACTTCTCATTTTCACAATTTTAGGGTCAAATATGCAAGTTTTACAGTGTTTACTAAATTACCAATGAGGCTACAGGGATAAAATATTTTGGTTTTTGCCCTTATTCCGAAAAAAGACAATATTCCTACTAAACTGTTTACATAGCTAATTAAGAAAATGAATATTCCACAAATATCCCTGTTTACATGCAGTCATGCGTACTCAGAAATTATGGGTGGGGGGGGGGGGGAATCAATACAGCAAAGTATCGCGATATTTCTGCAATATCGTATCATCACACGGTGCCAAGTATCGATTTTTTTTTAAAATTATATAAATTATTAATATGACAAATATTAATTAAACTTTAGGTAGCCTACTACAATAATATAATCAATTGCTTTTTCAGTCAACTACATAAATTTTGCTGCAAATAAAATGGCTGAAGTAAGACGAACAGACGGAAAACTTTATCTTATTAGATAATACAAATGTCGACAAAGTTTTCCTTCTGGGACAAAATATACAGTTGGGAAAAAAAGGCAATAAATCGCAATATATCACAATATACTTTATTGCAATACTCAGCACATTGCAACATGTTTAAAATTAATATTGTATTGTGACCTAAGTATCATGATAATATCGTACCGCGGAGCCTCTGATACTTCCAACCCCTACCTAACATGTCATTTATCACATTAAAATATGGAAACGTAGAACGTCTGTCGCTGGTGCCAGGATTTTGTTCAGACTTATTCGACTGCGCAAACACAACCTCCCTGTTTCATTCCTTCCACCACTGTCTTGAAAAATTTGGCAGTGTGATATTTAAACATATCCAAAAGCCTGTTGATATCCAAGTCTTTCATAATGTTTAAAAGTAGGTGTGTTTCTCCTTTAGATCAGAAATGTGGGCATTTGTTTTGTGTATGCATCTCTACCTCTGCCTTGAAAACTGTTGGCGAGTTGTTCCATGACATCACACAGAGCTTAGGGTTAACAGGCAACAAGCTGTGTGTTGCAAACTTCGGTAAAATCTCAAGCAGAGACGCATATTCCGAATGTGTTGTATACTTGTCCAAAGAAAGCTCCAAAAACCTGAATAATAGCTGCACATCCCACGTCTTATTTGGAAAATCCTTCATTTGGAAAGAGGCCTAATTCGGAATATCCATACAGAATATGCTGTTTACAAGACCCGTATCACATTCAGAATACTGTCATTTTCAGACTCCTACAGGAATATCAGCATGCATGTAAAAGTACCTACTGATTTCGACATACCATCTTCACTTCAATCATCAAACCAGTTAGTGGCCAAATTATGTGGCACCTCACTTTAAACCCACCTCTGTTTTCATTTATATGATGGTGCTGGACATTTTGCAGTCTGACAAAATCAAACATTGCCATCACAGCAGACTTGACACAATTCAAATCCAACCTCAACAACAACAACTTGGCCCACAGCTAAAGCCTCTCAACATGTTCCGATTTTATCTATAAAATTCCCATTGGGACATGATTTATGACATACATACAGCACACAATTGATTCAACAGTACATGGTCGGAGTAAAGTATTCTCTGGGATGTAATGTCAGCCATTTTCATTTCTGACAAGCTACTAAACATGACCTTTTGGCAAAAGATTAAATTACTTCTCTAGAGTCACACTTTGCCTCTGAAGGGCTGCAACATTCTTTCGTGAGAAATCCATTACTGTTCTTGTTCAAAATGACAGAAACACATTTGACATGCTGGCATTCACCAAAACATGTTACATGTACTTTATTCCTGAAAACATGTAACTGATGTATTCTATGATGCAGCACAGAGTGGATGAGCGCTCCCTTACTATATGGAAAATAAAGCCTATTATTTGTCCTGTCTCACAGGCTCGGGATTTATATCAGCACTCATGTCACAACATGGCCCATCTCTCCAAATGGAAGATTCCCATCCCCTTCATGAGCCAGACAGTAGTACAGCCCTCCCTGATTCTCTACACAGGATGACGCAAAGCGCATCAAAAGACAAAAGATGATGGATGGCCTCAAAACAAGGCTGGAGAAGACACTGACAACTCTGAGTAACAACCAATGAACCAACAGCGCTCTGGCCATCATGATGCAACTCAGGCCTATTTCATCCTTGGCCTGTGAAGAAAATGAGTTAGCCAGGGACCGTATAAAGAATAAATAAATAAAAATCACATAAGCACCTTTAAAATACAGACTCATAATCTGAGCCTCAGAACTCCAAACAGCTTGTGACTTTATTTGTTTAAAACCTCAGAAAGAAACTTCTCACAAATCCTTCAAACTTTATTCCAACACTTTTCTTTAAAAAATAAGTACCTTTGACTCTCAATCACTCTGCATGATATGCTCATTATTGTGAGTGTACTGTATGAACTCATGACTGGGTTTTCAAGGAGTAGAGACACAAACACAAGAAAAATGTCTACATAGTAGGCCTACAGTATCTATCGATATTGATTCACAATGCCACTTAAATACTGTTTATACCAAGCTAAATCTAATCTGGTGTCGAATGAGACATCCGCATCACTGCGTCTTCCACAAACTGAAGATAATATCCTCACTAACTAACGAGACATCTGTACTTTCTTTGACCCCGAGCTCCATGAGAGGAACCAACGCTGGTTTACGAGGCCTTCTGTCGGGCAATTATTTGTCATGATTGGACAGTTGATGTTTCATTAGTCGGCAGCATCGTCAACATGTGTTTCCATCTGTGTCTACATGTCTGCATGCCAGTATTAATTCAATCAAATCACAAAGAAAATAATTTTTGAGAACAAAGAAACTTCATTCACTACTTCTTCTGGGTTCAGTGATATTCATACAAATATCAGTAAATATACCATATATATTTATTGTTTACCTTAGTGCAGTACAAACGTAATGCAGTGAAGTCCCATTTCTTGGCCTGTGAGGAGTTGTACTTCAGTATTGCATTCTGTAACACAAAAATATCAATAATTATATTAAATTGAGATGAAAATCTATAAATTTAAATTTTCATTTTAAGTCAGAATTACGATATACATGTATTAACTCAACAAACAAGCTGTCAAAATATCAAAATTCTGAGGGACTGTGTGCCACTTTGTTTCTTGGCTTATGGCGCCATCTTATGGCAAAATCTAGTAACAGCAACTACAGTGTACCTGTGAAGTTTCATGAAAAGAAATACATTATGTCTTGTCAGTAAAAGGACACAGAGTTGAAACTTACCCTCAGCTCAAATGGACTCGTAAATTCCCTGTTTAAAGCTTCCTTGATCAGCTCCCACCTACTCTTATTCTGTAGTTCCAGTGTTTCCTGTGGAAGGACACGTTTTGTTAGGTTTCTGCAGGATGAACTCAGTTCAGCTTTTCATATGCAAAGAATAACAACGCTGTGTCATAATTTGCATTCAATATTTTGGCCCTCAATGTGTTTCACTCATGCACACAGAGATTTGAGACAAGAAAAATAGATGTAAATATCTGCTCTGAAACATTACAGTTCCATGTATATGCAGCATAGCTTGTAGAAACTCAGCAGTCTTACGTGAAGGTATATATGTGAACATTTTCAAACAAAATAAATATCACAGTGCTCATCCTCTCACCCTAATTGGTAGCAGTAATACACTTAATATGCCTTCATTCAGGCTTATAATAGCACTCAACTCAACTAAGATTAATTTATAAAGCACATTTAAAAACAACTCATGTCGACCAAAGTCAGGTACACAGCTCACACATTTAGAGAGACAAACACACAGGCACGCATCAGGGAAAACCACATCAGGGGGACTGAAACGCTAATGAAAAAAAGTAGGTTTTGAGCCTGGACTTAAACGAGTTATGCTGTTCCACAGTTTGAGGGCAGACACAGCAAAGGCACGATCACCCCTAAGCTTAAGTCCATAGTGTGGGACAGCCAGGAGCCCCTGGTCCGCTGACCTGAGGGACCTGGGCGTAGAATAGGGTGTTAGAAGGTCTGGGTCTGGGATGTAGGATGGGACCAGATCATTAAGGGTTTTGTACACACACAGGAGAACCTTAAAGTCAATTCTGAACTTCACAGGCAGCCAGTGGAGAGAGGCCAAAACAGGTGTGATGTGGTCTCTGCTCACTGTTTATGTGATCCATATTGAACCACCGGTGTACAGTCTGCGCAATTAAAAGGCTAGTACATATCTTAATGTGACATTTAAACAACACTTTAACATATCCATTACTACAACTGCTTTTTATACTGACAGATCTATAAACACTTGGATCATTACCTCATCCTGTACAGGAAACAGGTTGCTACTGGAACAGGGCATCTTGACATGGACATCATCCCAGGTATCCCTAAACTTTGTAGGATATGGAACAGGAACTTTACCACTCTGAAGAAGGTCTGTCTGTCAGTGGGAGTCAGTGAAACAAATGGCATTATTATAATTTTTCTGAAAGCCATTATAAAAATATTTTCTTGGATTGATCATCTAATTACTGTATGTTTCAATGATGTAGAAAAAACTGCTCAAACCCTTATCATCACAGTGTGCTGGCCAGGAACGTCCTTCAGTGGAGGAAGCGGTCCGCCACATTCTGGCATTCTCTTTAGCTCACTAATTGGCGTCCCCAGCCATTTGACATCAGGCTTGACAACAGCAGATGTAGCTTCCTTGTCTGCATCTGGTTTGTCTGGAGACTTATTCGGCCTGCCCCGTCTCACAGGAACACCTGGTGATGAGGTCCCTGCAAAGAAGTCTGTTATTTTGGCATTGTGCTTGACGGAGCTCTCTGATGAGTCTGTCTCCATTTCTTCTTTCTCTAATCCATCATAATTGTGGGATGGTGGCTGTGTTAGCCCACTCCCTGCAGAGTCCTTGGAAGCTGGTGACACAGGATTGTACTCATCCAGGTCCTGTGGTGTCAAAGGTTGTGTTTCTTCATCCGAGTCAGACACAGCAGGCTTTTCAGCATTTTGGCGGTCCTGAACCTGAGCTGAGGTGCTCTGAAAGGCACTATCGTGAGCCATCTCTACATCCTCTTGGGTTTGGCACACTTCAGCTGTACTTTTTTGGGGCTTCACCAACCATCGTTCAAGAGTGCTTCTGAACTTCTGTTGCGGTCTGGGGCCAATTCTTTGATGACAACCTTTTGTCTTAACACCTCGCAGTCGGTCTGCTCCAGTCTTTGGCCGTATGTCCATCTTTGTGTCTGTGTTGTTTTGCCTCCTTTCTTGATCTACTGCATTATCTCTGCTCTGAATACATAAAGATGAGACTGAAGAAGAAAAACACAGTTTAACAAAGAGGCAAATACAAAAATGAAGCCAACAACTTGTGTGAGATACACTCAGAGGAAAGAAAAATATGATTTCTAACCAAGTTACCTTGGGAAGAAGATGGAGGGGACGTTGGGGCACTTATATCAACCCTAAGTCTCTTTGCTAAAGGTTCAAAGTCTGTCAGCGCAGTCATTCTACAAAAAAAGAAGCAAAACATTAGACATCCACATTATTTAGAGACAGGGTTGCTTCTTGGCAGTTTAAACATGAAAAGACACAAAATGTATACTCACAATACAACCTGAGCTGACACCAAGATTGAGGCGTTATTTGCTCTTGTCCAGACTTCTTTCGTGGGCAGCCCTTTCTTCAGTAGGTGAGCAAGTCTTAAAAAATGGTACGCAGCCATACATGACGCTATCTAACAATTCCTAAAAAGGACATGCCGGTGCTTTGACGTTAGTTTGTGGGGGCATAACATCAACTTATTTATCCGTGTTGCTAATTGGCTAACTAATGAGCGTTCGCCTGTACCCAATGCTGAACGAAATGCTGCGTTTATCTTGTAATATAAACCAAGCTTTTACCTTAGGTCGCAGTTTGTTGTTGTCCAACAATAGGGTGACACACTGTCCAGAAACGACTATCAACAAACCGTTAGCTAGCTTACATGCTAGCTAGCTTTGGAGTTCAACAGTTCCTTAAAACAACCGAGAAATAATTGTGAATAGCGCCAGACACTTGAGCACGCATCTTGTAAACTCACAGCTTCCTATTAAAAATAACCTAAACGTACACTATGACAATATTTGTTGGTTTTTGGTTAGTGTTAAGACGCAGAGTAGTACTTCTGACTGTCACTGAACCTAGCAACAACAGTGCAGTTCTTCCGCGCGCCAGTGACGTAGAAACTGTTGAAATAACGCGAGATTTCCAACAGCAGTTCTCAACGTTTATAACGGCTACGACGATTTTACTGTAGAGAAGTTAGTTTTTAAGAAATTCTGATTCAGGCACGGTCTAAAAAAAGTAAGACTTTGTTGTAGATTTACTGTCTTTTTAATATTAACAACAATTAAGTCTGCTATTATGAACAAAAGAATGTCAGAGGACGGAAACACACCCGCTTGAGACAGTTGCTAATGACGCAGGTATAGTTTAACCGTAAGCTAACACTCGCATAACATTAACATATAGTTACGTGTTACAGAATGGGAAATACTCGGACAAATATTTAGTCTTGTCACTCCACCTTTGCAGTTTGTTTTCACAAGCCACCTGTCGCAAGCCACACCCATCACGACTCACCTGACCAGCAGAAGGAAGCAAAGACATAAGCCCTGTATTCATTAATAGCAGGCATAACGTAATGTTAACCGTGAGGGTAATGGGGAAATAACCGTGGTACTTTAACCAGGATCATGGTCAGGAAATACATCTTAGTCGCTGTTTTTTTGCTGTCTTGCGTTTCTGGGATTGACAACAAAGGTGAGGTTGAATAGTCTTTCGATGGAGGTGAAAATGAGCGTGTTCCTCGTCTGTTTTCCTAACTCCTCAGGAAGAATCCTTAATATTAAACATTTCATTGCCTTTTTGTATGTGGTTGAATTATTTGTGGGTGCTTTTTGTCGTGAAGGAAATGGCATTAGAAAACTACAGGATACCTTTCTTTATGTTTACAGTTTCTCTATGTATTCACCTTTGTTCCAGACATTTTCAATGGGCTTTCATTAAAACTTTCAAAGTACTCCATTGTAAATCCTCAGCTGATTCACAGATGGACAAGGAGCATCAACAGCCAACCAAAAGAGGTAGGTAACAACCCTGATTAACTCTTTTAAAATGACACTGTAATGTGATATCAAGAATACTTTGGTTTTACCCATTTTAGGAGGAGACAGTGTCATATGCTGTCAACATAAACAACAGAAAACACCTGCTTCACCTAAAAAAGAACAGGTATGCACAGAGTTAATTAAGTGTCACTGACATTGCTGTAACTCCTTTAAACATCCTGTCTGTTTTTCTCTTCTTATCAGAGACTTTCTACACCCAGACTTTGTTCAGTATTCACGTGACGCCAACGATAACCACAAGCCATCATATCCAAAACTGCATGTAAGCTGATACTCATTCATTCAGGTTTATTAGCCTGGTTTGAACTTCAGCCCACAATCCTGTTTACACCATTTATTTCCCCCTCAGGTGCACTGCTATTACCACGGAGAGGTGGAAGGATATGAGGATTCATTGGTGGCGCTCAGCACATGCTCTGGCCTCAGGTGTGAACATCTCTCTTGCTGTTCCTCTTTTAGGTGATATATGAGCAAGAGCTGGGCACTGATTCAGTATTTGCATTCCTTGAGTGGAAATGTGTCATGATCATATGATCGGATTGTGCTATCATTCCACAGTACTTTGGCATCCAAAATTAATGATCTAGACAATCCAGATAATTTTTAATCACCAAAGACATTTTTTCCCCACTTGAAGGTCCAGTGTATAACATTTAGAGGAATTCCATGGCATCTACCGGAGAGGATCGCAGATTTTATTCAGCTGAAACTTCCTGGTTAGATTTCCTTCCGTGTTGATTGTTCAAAGGTTTTTAGTGGCAGCTGAATTTTCAGAGGTCTCTTCTTCTTCAAAACAAACAGACCAGGCGATAAAAACTGCTCAAAACACTGAATAAAGCATTTTCAAGTTGCAAATCAGTGTTTCTTTGATGCTGTTTGGCACACTGCAACGAGCCACTAGCCTAGCACCTGCTTATGTGTGCTCACTTTTTTTCTCTGATAACAGAATCCAGACATTCGGAGGGTTTTTACGGGGAGCTGTATTATCTGCAGAGGTCTCTTCCTCTCCAAAACAAACACGATGGCCTGTTAACTACAGTGGCCGATGTAAAAACGCGAATGGCCTTACCGAGGAGCTAGTGTTTGGTTTGTCCACTCTGAGCTGTAGTAAGATTAGAGGTTAGCGTTTAATTTGCACTCCGATGAATATGCTGTCCCTAAAACAAAACATTCCTGCAGGTAATTATTAACACAGTTTCATCTCATATCATGTAAAGCAGGCTACTTCATTTACGGTTCTTGTGATGTCCATCATAATCAACAACCCTGCCTTTTTCACATGAATGCACTCTTTGCTGGAGAGGAAAACGTAGAGTTGGCTGAACTAGTTGATAGCCAGCTTCGGATACTGGTTATCCCGACAGCCAACGTTAGGGTTAGTCAAGCCAGATAATGAAAATATATCCTGGGTAAGTTGAACTTATAGTGCAGGCTTTTAGGTGATTTAAACTGGTAAAAACACTGAATAAAGCAGCTTTACGTTTAAATGAAGTGTATTTCCGACACTGCTCGTCCTGGCAGGGGATGCTGACTATGGTGGCCAACACAAAAATGTGAATGTCTCTCTGTAGAGGTAGTGTTTGGTTTGTCTGATCTGGGCTACTGTAGAAACATGGTGGTACAACATGGTGATCTCCGTAGACGATGACCTTCTCCCTATGTAGATATAAATGGCTCATTCCAAGATAATGAAAACACTAACATTCTTATTTTCAGGGGATTATACACTGAATAAAATGTTCTTATTATATTATTTTCCATTGCTGCCAGTATATTCCCCTAAATCCTTCACACTGGACCTTTAATATGAGGAAGTGTATTGGGTTTATTAGTTACAAAATTGGTGAGGTAATGCCAAGGTGTGGGTTTGCAGTACCACACCCAGGCTTTGGCACAAAAGCATTTCTCTAACGGACATGCACTACTTTTCTGTAGAGGTGTGATCGTCCTTGGAAATGAGACATACGGACTTGAGCCTGTGCCACGGTCTGCCACCAATGAGCACCTTCTGTACCTCCTGAAGGACAGTGAGTCGGGGCCCGTCCGTTGCGGGGTCGTCAGTGAGGCTGCGTCAACGCAAAGCCACGAACCCTTTGAGCCTGGGCAATCCCTGACTTCACTGCTGCGGGTTAGGATGCCCCACCACGTTTACCTGAGCGTATATTTATAGTGTGAGCTGGTTTTGAAATGGAAAGTGGCAGAGAATGTCAATGACTGCTTGTTCTTCTTCTCTGTTTGTTGTTTAAACAGAGGAAGCGCAATTTACCTCAAACCAGTTATGTGGAGTTGGCGCTTGTGGTCGATAATCTCAGGGTGAGTGTGTTCGTCTGTCTGTGAATTCAGTGGTGGTGAGTGAGAATGAATTGGCTGCAACGGGTTTGACTAGATCCAGATAAATGAGCACTTACTGTTCTTAATGACTCATCAGCCTTGTAACAGTTAATCTATTTCCTTTAAATGTTGCATTATACTGTGGAATATAGTGCCAAAAATAACCAGTCTATCATAACTGCATGATCCTTCATGATATTTTCTTTATACAGTATAATCATAAGGAACAAAATGAGACGGCGGTACGAGAGGAAATGGTGGAACTGGCTAATCTACTGGATGGGGTGAGATTTCAAGTTATTCTACATAATTCTAATATTGTTTTTGTTCCACTGCCACCCCATGCTTTATAATGATTTATTTTCTGTTGCATTCTAGTATTACAAGAAGCTGAATATCCGTGTGGTGCTGGTGGGCCTGGTTATTTTTAAGGATAGTAATCCCTTCAGTGTGGAAGGCCGTGCAGGAGAGGTGCTGGGAAGGTTTGTCAAGTGGAGGAAGAGTACTCTGTTACCAAAGATCAGGAATGACATCGGTCAACTCATTGTGTAAGTAGCGTGTTCTTTGTCTTGTTCTCTGAGTTTTATGATGATGCTGAAGTTTGTGACTCGTCCCTTGGTCCTCTTGTTTCTCAGTGGTCGTCCCGGTGCATATGAGGGAGCTATACTGGGTATGGCCTTCGTGGGCACAGTCTGCTCCCCAGCGCACGCAGGAGGAATTAACGTGGTGAGTCCAACACCCTTTTCACTCCTTACACCAGCTGACACCTTGGTGCTTTGGCAGTATGAGCTTTTGCGCAGAAACTGATACTGTCTGCATTATTCATGGCAGGTGCCATAAGTGCAGCTCATTCTCGCATGCTCTAAGTAACACAGGAGTCAAACAGGTTCGACCAGATCTCAGTCTTTGAAGCACCATGACAAGGCATTTTGGTTTGGTCAGTTGAATTCCTAAGATTCTTTTGCACTGTGGTGCTTTACAGTGCTTTGATTTCATTTTCACAACAGGGTTCCCATGGTCATGGAAATCCTATCAAAAAAGTCATGCAATTATTAACACCTTCAAAGTTTTGGAAAAGTTATGGAATTTTGTTGTGTGCAGTAAATTAATTACTATAGTGATTTTCAATGGATACCTTGCACACAATGTAACATAACGGCAAATTTATTTTCTGTAGCTTTTGACTCAGTGTACCTCTAAAATGCCTCAATGTGTAAAGTTTTATCTAGCATCACATATATTTCTTTATTTTTTCCCCGTGTTTCGTCTGTTCCTTTATGTACGCCAGCTAGCTGTAATTATGTTTAAATAGAGTTTGAATCTGATATGTTTGAATAATGGCGAGTAAGTGGAGCAAGAAAAATAATGTCGTGACAGAGTGGTTGAGCCATACACTGTAAAAATCATTAACGTAGCTACCGTGATGTCACCCATTGGTTTGAAGCCTTAAGGTTTGGCATTTCTGTCGTCACCATCTTGGGTTTTTTTGGAGCCAGAACAAAACCATAATGGGTGAGAAGGTGGAGCTGTGGAGGAGTGACAGGTTGATCTGACTGAGAAGCCAAGGACTGTCTTGGCAGACAGCCGCCCACCTGTAATTATGCGTAACTCTAAGCCTTAATGAAATATATAAGGGTGTCAGGAAGGGAAAGTAGCTATAGAGACCAAAACTATTTTTGTACCAGGCTGTAAACATGTTT